AAAATTTATTTAATTAAATTTTCATAGCCCTTAGAAAAGAAAAATTAAAAACCACCAAAACTTCAGTATATAGAAAATCTACTCCAACTTTGTAAAAGGCTTGCTCTCGGAAGTTATGTATTATTTATGATCTCGCATAGCAGTCTGCATCCGTTGGTCTCGGGTGATTATGCAGACTACTAGGGTGACTAGCCAATCTCTATGACAGACGCCTGCTCAGACACAGAGCCAATATGTGGTTTATATTGCAACAAAATTGAGCTGATCTTTCTTTCTTTCTTTTTCTTTTCCTCCTTTTTTTTTTGTTTACAAGAATGTTCACCCTGTACAAGACCCAAGAGCCACTCGAAGTAAAAAGTTACAGACTAAACGGCTCAGTTTATGGAGATATGTAGGGAAAATACCGGTTAACCCTAGACTTGAACAGGTTAAGACTGTAGGAATCGGGGAAGCATTCTCTTCGGAGTCGGTTCCACAAAGCAGTGCTTCGCGGAAAGAAGCTACTCGCGCGGAACTTACATCCCACTAATGGAATACAAAGGGAATGAGGGCGGTTCATTTCAATTTGCGTGGCATGACCGTGAAGTCGTGAAGGTTAGAAATGGTGGAATTAAGGAAAGTAGTTCGTCTGAACACTTTCCATTGTAATAGCCATAGAACAACGAGTAGCTTGCAACGTTTTCTCTGTGGGAAAGGGTGGTGAATAGTTACGTAGAAGTAAGCTAGTCAGAATGACCTGCATCTGGTGCAAAGGAAAATAAGTTCCTTACCTCAATACACGACACGTAGCAGCGGTGATTTTCTTCCTTGAATTCTATCCCACCCACCTTTAGATTATTCCGTAAGTGTATGATACTATAACGTTTTTTTTTTATTCAGCTTAGCGTGGTTCGACCAATAGCAATTCACGTGCTGATTGGTCGGACTGGAGGGTGCTATTTGACTGTGACTGAAGACGAAGCGAAGAACGCTGACTGGTCAGTCGGTTGTGGTGATGGCATAATAAAAGAGGGCTGAAGCAGTGAGAAGCAGAGCGATTTTTTTACACACATAGAGACAGAGACAGACAGACAAACAGACAGAGACAAACACAGAGAGAGAGAGAGAGAGAGAGACAGACAGACAGACAGACAGACAGACAGACACACACGTTGGATTATCTTTATTTTGTTTGTTTTGATATTTTAGTTTCTTTTTGGGTGTCTCCTCTCTCTGCTCATTGTATATCATCTACAGATTTTTAGATATAGAATTTTATGCTCATTAAATTTTTATATCATGGAGTGTTTTTTGTAGCCTCCCTGAGAGTATGCGGTATTGTGGTATATGGAGGATTTATTGATGATGAATAAGTTCTTGTGGCGAATGTGCAAATTATAACGAGTGAATAATGGGTCGTGAATCAGATTAGCTCTCTTTCCCCCACCTTTTTCGGCCTTGTGCCAAAATTGTATTTAATATGATAAATCTTGCGATTTTTACGTTGGTGACGTGTGCGTGAATTTAAGAAAAGCGTATTGAGAAGGAGTATTCGGTGTTGTACGAGCGACGCCGGAGGAATATAATCTCATTTAACTACAAACTATTTCGGCTGTTCTTGAAAGCCGCCTGTTTCTTTCTGTTTTTAACAAAATCTCCATTTTTTTTTAAGTTAGAAATCTAAATCTCTTTCGGCAATGACTGGGAGTAATATCTCATTTAACTACAGAAAGGTAAGGTAGAAAATAATTCGTCTCCCACATGCACGCTAAGACGCTTTTGGGTTCTCTTGAGGCTGAAAAGAGATGACTGGGTAGCCACTATCCACATATCGTGGCATTAGTCCATTTTCGGCCTGATCTGGTTCTTATAAAGGTAGAAGATATCAGGAGGAGCCTGATACTTACTGGAGCGATATAGGCAACCGACAATATCTCCAGTATTTTTAGCGATGGATTTTACAGCTTTTTAGAGAGAGCGCATAATTTGGCGTGATCAGTAGTTTAAAAAGTTTCGTGACCTGGTCACAATGACTTGGCATTTCGTGCTAGTTTCTACCCAATTTCACTCATAACGCTTCGGTTAACCCGTGGTATGGTTTTCAGGCACTTCCTAACAGTATCACGCCCTAGAACTGTCACCCCAGACTTTACTCAATATCTCCAAAACAAAGCAAGTAACATTTTATCATCACTGAGCAGTCACTAAATTCACTCCGATATTGATGAGCGGTAACGCGCTCAATGAAGCTTCCTTCCTTGAAAGCCTATTAGATCTAAAGCTCGCTCAAGACTTCAAATGGGATTCGTATATTAGATTCTTGCCATGACTAAAGTTGATGAAATAATTACATGTTTCCTTGCATCGCTCCAGAAAATGCCCAACTGTTGCTATGCTCTAAATTTACAAGAGGCAGATCAGAGTGAGAATGGAATATTGCTGCCATACATGGAAAGAATCTGCACAGTCCTTACTGTTCAGCTTACGTGGATTTGTCGGTGATGAATTATTCTCTACCTCGCAATCCTTATCTCACAGAGGAAACGATACTTGCCTCTTACTACACTGTCGCTATTAGCAGATGTTCAGTTGAGTTATATGCTTAGTTCCGTCAGTTCAGACCTTCAGAGCTAGGGCCCGCCATGCCATGCTCACGTTGACAAATCCTCCCCCCCCCATTCCCTTCGTGTTCCTTTGGTAAGGAGTAAATTCTACTCAGATAGCTTCTTCCCAAGTATTGTTACTTTGTGGAACAGACTCCTAAGAGGATACTTCCCTGCCCACTACAATCTTAACCTCTCCAAGTCCGTTATCTATCTTGCATATGCTTATAATATGCTTCCTCTAATCCCATTTAGTAACCCATTACCTTGAGTGGCTCTTAGGCCTTGTATTAGGTGAAATAAATTAAAAAGTACCCCGTTGGCAAAATGGCTATAATGAGATGCAAATCCAAGTTTCATGGTCAGAACGCTAATGTTGTAACCATAGCCGCATGCCCATGGTCTTGCATAGTACCTGTCAAAATGAATGGTGCTTTTACATAGAGCTTGGCATTTCTATCTAGGATCAGAATATCTATGCGTTCTGCTTAAGATCAAAATGTCGCACCTCGACTAACCGCTTAAAATTAGTGTATAGTATGTGTGCACGCTACCCAACTGAATATTTTTTTATTAATTTTATCAGGTTTCGTTACGAAGGAGAGAGTTGGCTTGCCTTGTTACATTCAAGTTCGCGTGGCAAGATGGTAGTTTGGGGCGTTGCCTAGTAAGCTATTAGTCGATTAGTTAGCGAAGTGAGTTCGTTCTTCAATGGTGTCTCTCCTAATAATGGCTTTGTGTTCAACGGTTCTAATCTTTGTAAATATCCAGAGGTAGCACCTTACATAGTTATCAAAATATAACCGAGAATTGGCTAAAAATGTCGATACTAAAGGTAAAAAAAAAACTTCATTTACTGTCTTCGATTAAGTTCTGTTTAAGGGTCTTTCCAGTAATTCCTCAAATTTGGATCTAACACAGAAAGCACTTTTAGTCACAAAAAAGATAACAGAATTTCAATAATTGAATAAAGGTGTAATAGATAATATAATAATAGAATTTCAATAAGAGAATAAGCAGATAATAAAATAATAGATAATAGAATTTCAATAATAAAATATTGGATAATAGAATAATAGGTAATAGAATAATACATATTAGATAATAGAATTTTAATAGTAATCGACAATAGAATAATAGATAATAAAATAATAGATAGATAATAGAATTTCAATAATAAAATAATGGATAATAGATAATAGAATAATAGAATAACAGAATTTCAATAATAAAATAATCGTTAATAGAATAAAAGATGAAGTGAATGATAGATAATAGAATAATAGATACTAGATAATGGAATAAAAGATAATAGAATAATAGATAATAAAATTCCAATAATAGAAAATTATCAATTTTCTAAAACCTGTTTATTTTAACGTGGCAGAATTTACGGAGAGAGAAATAACGCAGAGAATAAGTTACATTCTTGAATATTTTTATATACCATAGTGTCGATAAAGATATTTATCATAATCTCGTGTCGGTCTTAATGCAATAAATTGACTTGTGCCGGTTGTTCTGAATCGTAGAAGTGAGAAAAAAATGTAGAAAAGTCGCGTTGTTAAAACTAAGAAGACATCAAGGAAGTTAGGATGAGGAAAAGAAAACCCGTTGTCTAAATAATAAGAACAAAAACAAAAGAATATATCGGTAAAGATTTGCAGAAAGATTATTAAGAGATTTGCATTAAGATAATCATGACCTCTGTTTCTTTTTTGTTTTTTTTATTTTTTTCAGTAATATGATTTTACCCTTGTCTCTGCCATTCGGTCTCAGTGAAAATAAAAACTAGAAAAAATCCTTCGTTGAGTTCATGGAAAAAGATATTTTAATTTAGTTCCCGATTAAAGATAAATCTTATTTGAATTTATATGATAACTGCAAAAAGTGAATCGTCCTTCGATAATTATATTTGCTATATTTTCTTTATCTTGTTGGGTTCGCTATATTTCAAGTCAAAATGATATAAAATTAATGAAGACACCAAATTTTTTTTTTTCCTTTAGATCTAAGGGGAGTAACTTTTACGATAACAATACACACACACACACACACACACACACACACACACACATACACACACACACATACATATATATATATATATATATATATATATATATATATATATATATACAATCGAACACTGAAAATGAACACGAATAAACCAAAATAAATAAGTAAAATGAATTAATCCAAAGCAATAAATAAGTAAATAATCTAAATAAATAATAAACAAATAACAGCCAACAAAGATAATGAACAACACTGTAAATAGTCAAAACCTGCATCCACAATTATTCACACTTAATAATCTCTAGAATAATTCGAAACATAACCGTTACTGCATTACAAAATAACCGTTCTATCCCTGATATTGAGCATAAATATAGCACGCCGTAAAACTATATTTTATCACATAGATAGATAGATAGATAGATAGATAGAGAGAGAGAGAGAGAGAGAGAGAGAGAGAGGCGCTATGGAGTAATGGATAGTGGCTCAGACTAAGGAATCACGAGAAGCGATTTCAAATTCCAGTCGAGTTCGTTATATTCACTTATTTTCAAAAACTCTTGGGAAAGATTTGAATCTCTCCCTCCCCCGTCCCCCAACTATGGATAAATAACGGGACAGACTGGGTGAGTAACCGATCTATTAGGACTTGAGGAGGATCATTTGGGGACCTTGTGGCACGCTCTACATACATTTATTAGCCTTATGTCGTACTAACCAAAGACAATAAAAATCAAGATAATATGTTTATTGTCCTTGTATCGTATTAGATATTTCTTGGTCTTATACCTATATGGTCTCTGGGTACTAAATATTTGTGAGTCATATGCTGTACTCGACACTACAAATTTGTTGGTCTTAAGTCGAATTCGACATTAATATTTGTAGGTCTTGTAAAGTTTTGCTTGCCTTATGCCGTACACGAGACTAGATATTTATTGACCTTATGCCGTACTAAGCTACTATTGTTACGTCACTTCACGTCATGAGTTCTGAAAAGCATTAGGGTCGTAAAGACCCTATATGGCAGCAGTGGTATGTCATGAATAAGAGGAACTAACAACGCCTGTCTTCAAGCTGGTTTTGAATTAACCGTTCTCATTATCCTAGTCTGGTTAAAGACAAAAGAGTCCAGTTTGCTTTACTATTTAACTCGTAGCGGGAGGAACGTGGATTCATGTCTCAAGAAACATTAGCGCGATGCGAACGAAATCGAACCAAGCTGAAATTGAACTCAGCCTACCGAATTCACTTTGCGCGTTGATGACTGTTACACTATCCGCACCCCCAAAGCTACTATTAATATTTGTTGGCCTTACTCGAGACTAGATGTTTGTCTTATATTGTACTAAATCTGTAAATATCAAAACTAGATTTTAGCTGCACTTGTCGGATATTCAAGACAAGATTTACGTTGTCCTTGTGTCGTACTCTAAACCCGTGATTCTCAACGTGTACCCTTAGGCCCCAGAGCTGGTCTGATAAATATTTCAAATGGGCCTGGCTTTCCAATCAGACAGGCGGGCCAACCCGGAATATCAGCCTACGAAATCATAGCTCTTCAAATGACACGAACACTGTTCTTAATATCAGTGTTGCTGTTTTGATGCCACAATTAATATTTATCTAAGATACATAACAATTTACTTATCAATTTCTTTATCACTTTTATATATATATATATATATATATATATATATATATATATATATATATATATATATTATATATATATATATATATATTTGTGTGTGTGTGTAAAGACAGATATACATACATAGTGGACTGTCTTTTCCCTAAAAGATATTCATGGTATGAAAGCTTGGGTGCTCTATCTGAAGCAACACAGACTGAGTTAATATTCCAATCTCTCGAAGACATCTCTAAATAGTTGGTAGTTTTTATTCTGTTTCGTGCCGTATCAGGAACTAGTCACTCGACTGCTTCTTATGCAAAATCGATATTGCGCTTTGCGATAAAATCTTGTGAATAAAATCATCAAACAAGACGAAACATGACGAGACTTTACGACGCGGGAATATTGGTCCGAAGGGACGACGTGGCATTACCAAACAAAGCTCTGAAACTTGGAGCAGCATTGAAAATATACAATTCATATTTGTTAAATGCTTTTTCTAAATACTGAAACGAGTGCACACATACACACACACACACACACACATAGTGGCGACTAAATTCTTTTCCGATCTTGCACAAACTACTCAATGGGGTAAAAAATGGCTAGTTACATTAAATGCCTCGAAGACCAAGCTAGTTACATTCCATCATCGCCGATCTAACCTCAAACTACCACCAATCAGAATGAACAGAGGTGCTCTCGGTGAACCGCCGTACCTTGAAAGACTTTGGGACACCAACTCACACCCGACCTCGCTCCACTGAGTATTTGACCGTTCCTATTATCTTCTACCTTTACAAGAGCCAGATTAGTCCAAAACTGGAGTAATGTTGTCATATTTGGACAGGAGGTATCCAGACCTCACTCTCCAGCTCTGATAAAGTTCAAAAGCATTTCCAAGCCCTTGTGAGTGACGAACTATTCTCCACCTTTCAACCACTCCGCTACAGACGGGATGTGGCAAGCTTCTCACTGCACTACTGCTACTCTAAGGTTAACATTTTAGTGTCTCCTCCCCTTTGTGCGCATGTAAACGTAAACATCATTAACTGAAATCTTAAAGGATGAAACATGTCATTCGAAATGTTTTTCCATTTTATTATTAATTTTCTTATATATATATATATATATATATATAGTGAGATGAACTAAGTCCGACAATTATTTCATAGAAAATATATGTCCTCCAACAAGAAGTCGAACCTGTGTCCTACACGGAACTGTCATATAGCCTGACATGCTATACCATTTAGCTACAGAGAAAGCGTCTGGTTAGCAAGGTCGAATTACTGCTTTTTCTATGAAATTTTTCGGACATTCAGGGCATTAAATGTTGTTAATACTGTTTATTATAAACAGAGCATTTACTTAAATATTTGTATCTATATAAATAACATATAAACAATATATATATATATATATATATATATAACATTAGCATTGGAACAGCATTGAAAATTGCCCTGTATAAATAGCAATCATAAAATTCGTATTTGTTAAATGCTGACTTTGTCTCGATTCAGCCTTTGTTATTGGTTGGTTGACTAATTCAGAGCAGTGAAAAACGCCATTACTTTTCGAACACCGTAATATTAAAAAAAATTGCAGCTTAACTGTTGTAATGAAGGAAATGCAGTGACAAAACAAACAGGATAAACCAAAGTTCTGTATCATTCAAACTGTCAATCTTTATCAAATATATAACTTCATATACTATACATATAACATTAAAACTTCATGTAACATTAGAATTTTATCATATTCATCTTATTTCAATTTATGAAACTATTTAGAAGTTATAACATCTAGGCAATTAATATTACTGCTTTATAAAAACAAAATTTAAGATTTAAGCATTCGAAACTAAATTCAAACATGTTATCAACTAGAAACACATGACACAAACTAAAACATTTTCCTTTGCTTTGCTCACTGCAAAGTCAATTAAATATGAGTTTGCCATATTGATATCATTTCAGTTTATGAAACTATTTAGAAGTTATAACATCTAGAAAATAAAAATTATTGCTTCATAAAACCTCTAAGGGCCCTTGCCTAATAGATAATCCGGCCCTGAGGATAAAAGATAACAATATTTCAATAATAGGATAATGGATAATAGAAAATATAATTTCAATATTAATTAATAGCATTTTAATTTAAAAAATAGATGAGCGATACATAGAATTTCAATAACAGAATGAAAAATAATAGAATTTTAATAATGGATAATAGATAATAGGTAATTGAATAACAGACAATAGAATTTCAATAATAGATAATATAAGAACAGAATTTTAATAATAGATTAATTAGATAATAGTATTTCAATAACGGATAATAAAATAATAGATACTAGAATTTCAAAGAAGCCATATTGATTTAGCTTCAATGTTCAAAGCGTAAATGAACTTCAACTGAATAGCATTCTGCAATTTATCGTCGAGGAACCATTGGACTAACTCCCCTCGACTCACGGGGTAAACTTCGTCGCCTGCCTGCCTGACTCCGGCAAACAGGAAAAACTGTAAGACATACGGGCAAGCTGAAAGAGCCGCATTGAACGAAAGCTAATCGTTCTTGCACTTAAGCAAAACTGACAGAATAAGAGAGAATGTCATGGAGAGGAAATTGTCCGAATTTGAGACATAAAAACTGCTAGCAGACGTGTTGATAAGTGAACTTTAAGGGCCATTTTGTTGTTCCCATAGTTTATTGCAATTTCAAATCGCATCGATGATAGATATATAAGCGCGAATGCCAAGATAAGATTAGATAGATAGATAGATAGATAGATAGATAGATAGATAGATAGATAGATATGAGTAGATAGATAGATAGATAGATAGATAGATAGATAGATAGATATGAATAGATAGTTATGAATAGATAGATAGATAGATAGATAGATAGATAGATAGATAGATAGATATGAGTAGATAGTTATGAATAGATAGATAGATAGATAGATAGATATGAATAGATAGTTATGAATAGATAGATAGATCGAATCAAAATAACATAAAATTGAAATTAAATAGGTAAATATGTAAATTCTTACGTCGATTTCGGTTATAGATAGACATAGATTGAGAGAAAAGCAATCAGACTGAGATTAATTGCTATCAACAGATGGATTGGTAGATAAAAAAAGGGGGAAATAATATGACAAAAATACGAAAAGAAAGAGACTGATAGAAAAAAGGAAAAAGAGACAGAAATATTCAGAGTGGCGAGCGTGTTAAAGTTCATAGAGAAAAGTAAGAAGAAAGAAATAAGAAGAAAGCTAAAAAAAACAAGGTCCTTAAAAAAGAAACGTATGCTGAGAATTCTTAAAGAAAGAAAGAAAGAAAGAAAGAAAGAAAGAAAGAAAGAAAGAAAAAGACAGAAAGAGATAGAGAGATAAAAAGTAAAAAAAATATTCAAAAAGAGATTAGGGTGATAGATCTCAGGGAAAATAAAGAAGAAATGATAAAATGGTAACATGATGCAGGAATATTCAAAAGTGACGAGAATGAGAGCTCTAAAAGAAAAGATAGAAAGAAAAAGATATAGTAATTATAGAAAAATGCGGGATTATTAAAAGTGACAGAGGCGAGATATCTTAGATTGATTCATTGGTTCGTTTTCTACGGCTTATCAACCCATTATAGGTTATTTAAAGCCAGAAAATATTTTTAGATTGTAAGAAATTTTTTGAACATCATAATGATTTAGTGATACAAGCTTTATTAATTAACCCATAGCTGAGGGAGAAGAGGTGGATCATACCTTTCGTAAGGGTATTTGCAAATAAATAAATGCAACTAACCTAATTAAAATTGGAATTCGGCTCGCCGATTAACAAAATTCGAGACAATATCCATTACACTAAACCCACACATCCAAGGTTACAGCACCTGGTATTCCCAAGCGGTCACTCATTTAGGTTTTGACCAGGCTCGACGTCGCTTAACTTTGGGTTGCTGAAGTTCAAATATAGGCCAATTTTCCAATTTCCAAAAGGTTTTTCCGGAATGAGATTGTCCTTCTCATTAGGCTGACGTTACACATTTTTTATCTTTGTATCAGTATGTAGGTTGGGGTAGGTGAATACAACGAACACAATGGAATTGAAACTGCCCCCCCTCCCGCCGTTTAACAATTCCTAGCCATTATCCATTACACCACCCGCACATCCAAGCTCACAATACCTGGTATTCCTAAGCGGTTACTCATCCAGGTACTGACCAGGCTTCAAGTTGCTTAATTTCGGTGTTCGTACGGGAGGCGGTACTTTCTACGCGGCGATATGTTGGAGAAAAGAAGATATAAATGAAGTTTAAGAAAAGCAAAAATATTCAGACATAGATTGTGTGAGAGATCTTAGAGAGAAGAAAGAGAAAAAGAGTGGGAGAGAGGGAGAGAGAAAGAGGAAGCTAATTGTAAAAAGAGAGGGGATCGGTGAGAGGGAAACGGAAGTAAGTGATCGTAGAGAAAAGAAAGAGAAAAAAAGTGGGATAAACTACATAAAACTACAGAAATCGTTTTATTTTGTTTCTGTGGAAATTCTTATAAAAGTAAATAATATAATATATAGGAGAAAAAATCAAACTCTCAAAAAAATATCAAAAAATATCAAATATCAAAATATATCGAGAAAAATTAAATTCTTTTATCTGCAACGATTTTTTTTAATTGAACGAAATAAAGTAATTTTCAGAAATATTTTTAAAAAATTCATGATGACAACTGTCAATACAATCAAGAACGATATTTGTGAGTTAAAGCACCACTAATGACATCGAATTACAAAATCATCTTTTGTATTTAATGACTTTTAAAAGAAAACAAGAGTAAACAAGTTAAAAAGTATGTTTAAAACAAGATCTACATCTGTACCTTTTGAACTTTATTTTTTTCTATCCGATATTAAAGAGTAAATTTAAAAAGTAAAGTTAAACTGTATGTTTAAAACAAGGTCTGTATATACATATGTACCGTTTGAAAAGTTTTTTTTCTATCTGAAATTACTTTTTATTATTCTAAACGTTATGTTTAGTGTAGGACACGTGTTTGAGTTGCTTTCCTAGTTTCTATTTCTTTAGTAGGACTAATATAATAATAATATATATATATATATATATATATATATATATATATATATATATAGATATATATAGATATAGTAATGATACAATATGGTAATCCGTATGGAATTTCCATTAGAATATAAATCCAGGGAGTCAAAAGACAGAGCAAAATTATTATTAATTAAAGACTATCAAACACTAAAATTTTGCGTGTTTGAGATTTTTTAATTAATAATATATATGAATGTATCTTCTATATATATTATATATGTGCGGTACTTACGGAAAAGTGCTCAATATCAGTGATAGAGCTAACATATTTAGTTGTATGGATGTGGGTTTTTAACCATAGGTTTCACGCTTTTGCGTTCATCAGACATACTTTATCTGATGATCTCAAAAATTGTGAAAACCAGGGTCACAAACTGATATCCATACAACTATATATTAAAAATATACATTATACCATTCGTTGAATGCACAAGTTGAAGTTTCATGCTATTTGCAATGATTATGTGCAAATTTTGGGTAACGCCATTTGTTTTATACTTCTGATTATCGCGAGGTATTTAATAGTTAGGGAAGATATTTATTGTTGCTAAGTATTTAAATGAGTTGTAATTTAATTGAAAATTGAAAATAAGATTGAAATCTTATTTTCAATCTTAAATGTTAATCTGGGCCTAAATTCAAAATTAAACTACAACTCAAGTGCATTCAACATAGGCTATTATATACATTTTTTAATATATCAAATAGCTGTTATTTAACATTGAACACTTTTTGCTTACACAATAGAGTATATATATATATATATATATATATATATATATATATATATGAACGCTTACTCGTATATTTACCTATATCTATCCATATGATTATATATATATATATATATATATATATATACACACATATATATATATATATATATACACACACACACATATATATATATATATATATATATATATATATATATATATATATATATATATACAGGGGTGCAATAGACAAATTGTCGTTTAAATTATACAAAATTAAAATGACACTGACATCTCATTTTAACATACATATTTACCAAAATTGCACAAAAATATCTTGAAATACTAATGAGTAAATTTATATAATAAATTTGCCATTTGCTTCAACTACGGCCTGCAGACAACTTCAGAATCTCCTGCAACTCTTCTGGACGGTCTCCTTGTTTAAGTTGGTGAAAGCTGCCATAATCCTTGCCTTTGTCTTTGATGTTACAAGTTTTGTTGTTGTTTCGCTCAACTGCGCCCCACACATAATAAACAAGGGGACTGCAGTCTGGGGAGTTAGGTGGCCAAATGTAAGGGATGATGTGGTCGCAGAAATTTCCTGACAGCCATGATCGGGTACTTCTGATTGGGTGGCATGGTGCAGAGTCCTGTTGCCAGATATAGGGTCTTTCTGCAGGCACCCGCCTGACACTAGACGGTGGCTGCGGAAAGGCGTAGCGCTGTCCTGTGTCAGAACAGCACTACCTCATCGTGCCACGATGTAGGACTCCGTGTTGAGTTTGAGGCCATGTGAGGAAATGAAATGAGGCATAACGTCACCATCACTAGTTATCACTCTAAACACCTTCGTAATCACCATTAAACTCATCCAAATCTTTCCGAATCCTCTGCACTGTCCTTAGATTGACATCCAAACACTGTGTACACATTGAAGCTTCCAGCACGAATGCCAACCAGTACAACATGCCGTTTCCAAATTTGTGGTGGAGTGAATTGCGTCATGGCTCTCTTTTTCTCGCAGACGGTGCCCAACTGACCCTATTCAGTCGACAAATAAAAAACAAAGAACGTGCGAAATTAGAAATATAAAATGGCGACAATTTACTCATCGTGACTTGTGTGTGTGTGTATATATATGTGTGTGCGTGTGTGTGTTTTGATACGTATACATCGAACAATATATTAACGTTATATTGTTATCTAATATCAAAATAAATTATTTTACATATATCTATATAATTTATTTACTCTGTTTTCTTTTTAAAACCATTAGATAGAGACTATTTAGAAAATTAAAAAACAATGAAGAAACGATTCATGCTGAAAATTTGAAATGAACGAGATTGGAAAAAACTACGTATTTTTTAATGAATATAAATCTATCCACTTATCCATCTTTACACTATCCACACACACACACACACACACACACACACACACACACACACACACACATATATATATATATATATATATATATATATATATTTATGTGTGTGAGAGAGAGAGATAGAGAGAGTTTATTCTGATAAAGATTTTCTTTATTGACAGGATTTAGCTGAAAAGCTTGTGACGGATTTTTAAAAAGAAATTGTAAAATCCTAATTCTCCATCTTCTATGTGGCGCTTCTCTTTAGGGCGTGACTAATAATATCTCTCCCCAGTTACCTATCCTTTGTAACACATAAAGCTTGTCTTTTTGCTATCTCTCCTATTTCCTGTTCTGCCAACCATTTAGACAAGCTTGTTAGAAAGATTATTCGCTGGTTCCTCTCTCCCTCTTGCCTTCATCATGACCTGTCAGTGACAAATTTTCTTAAATACATTCATAAACAGGATTTGATCAAAAGTGTTTATGGATGGTGTGATCAAAATACATTTTTAAATACTACGTTCCTTTAGGACGTGGGCAGTTATGGCCCGTCTTATATTCCTCTTCTTTACCAAATAACCAATACGTACTTATACAGTACATTGCAATGCTCTACGTATATCTATCTATCTATCTATCTATCTATCTATCTATCTATCTATCTATCTATCTATCTATCTCAATATATATATATATATATATAGTTAAACCTAGGTTTGTCTGGCTCTCTAGGTTTAACTCGGTCTGCTCTACTTACTGTATCGAGCACTTTATTTAGTTATTTTGCCTACTCGTATCGTTTTTTTTTCTTTGGGCTTTGGACTTGCATGCTAGACGATTATTTTCGGCTAACATACATGATCTTGGTTCTTTCTTTTTTATATACCTTTTTTTTTCCTTTGGTATTGGTTTGATTATTTGTAAATCAAAACACTGAAGGTTTTTCGAATGAGTATAATTTCTTATACTTATAACATTACTACTACTACTACTACTACTACTAATAATAATAATAATAATAATAATAATATATATATATATATATATATATATATATTATAAAATATAGTTTTTAAGGCATGCTATATTTATGGGAGAAAAGTTCTCAATATCTGTGACAGAGCGTATGTAAATATAAGCAGTGTGGACATTGGTATTAACATTTGTTGGCGGCAGTCCGTTTCATCTTAAATGCAATTGCGTTTAAACATGAAACAGGTTGTCACCATCCAGTGTTGAGAACTATGTCTACGCTGCTTATATATATGTGTATGTGTGTGTGTCTGTGTGTGAATGTCTATAAACCATGCGCCTCTGTGCACATACACTGCTAGAAAAAAATCCCAAGCTCATTTTAAAATACTTTTTATGCGTTAAATACGGATGCAAATCTCTGCTGGGGCCGCCCGTACATCAAAATCTTACATGAATTAAGCCCCTAAAGGAAATATGGTTACAGAGATAATTAATTTGTAGACGTTATGTAGTTTTTGTATATGCCATTTTTATATAAATATGCGAAATCAATTAATGCACATGTATGAGGACGATTTTTTCACAGTAAACCGACAAACGGCAGTTGTATTTTATTCTGCATTCCGTCGCTTCACCAGCGAGTCATAAAGAGAGTCATTAAAAAAGATAAAAGAAGACATTTTTTTACTGTCTTGATTAAACTTCGCGACGAGTATTATTTAAAGACAAATTGCTGTATTTTGTCGCGGTCGGCGAAAATTATCGAGATTATATTCTTTGTCCGCTGCTAGGAACTGACAATGATCTTTATTTTTTATTATGTAGCTGGTTTGCTAATTATGCTTTGGCCCTATGATTGACTACTTTCCATTTTCATATCTATTGCATGTAACTTCACGAATTTCAATTAATTTAATCTTCAACCGTCATATACATCAGAGTTGTTAACTTCCAGAGACTTACGAATTTAAACTTTATTTTGCTCTTAGGATTATGTTAATCTAATCTCTTGTTTAAGTCTATGTTTTTCTTTTTAATTTTTGGTTTTATCTTTTGGGGTTTGCAAGTGTGTGTCACCTTCTCTGACAAATCTACGCCCCAAACTAAAGACAATCTTCTTACTGATCATGATATAAAGAACAATTAAAATTATTTAAAGTGTGCTAATTTTGAAAGTAGAAATGTTGAAGATGATAACGTGTTCATGTAGCTTCTTGCAGGAATAAAAGTTCGCTCCAAAGCATTTTTTTTTATTTTTTGCCTTATATAATAACTGACTACGGATGAAAATCATTTTTACAGAATGGTACCAGTTGCTGGTGTGAGGGAACCACCTCTGGGCGTGGTACAGTAACCATACATTTTTAGACGTTTCTCTTGAGTGGAAACCTCCATTATCAAACCTTTCCCTAAAATAATATCTTAAAAACTCTTTAATGCGTGCGTGATATCATTTTTGTATAATATTTCTTCGATTTTATTTTATTGAAAAATTCTCCAAGCTTTCGTCTGCTTTTAAGGGTAGTATATTAGCTTGTAGACATTTAAAAGTGTTTTTTTCTTTTTCTTTCATTTTTTTTTTTTTTTGCAAAGTGTCTTTTATTACCCTGTTGCTTTCGTCCTCTCTCCCAACTCTTGCTCTCTCCTCTTTTTCCAATTTTTATTTCACTTTACTGTGTTTAAAACAGTTATCGCCTACTAAACTTGACGTTATTTTAAAAGAAAGAAAGAAAGGCCGATAAAACGTAAGAGAGTTGAAAAGTTAAGAACTGACTGACAAAAAAAAAAAAAAAGTGAAATAAAAAAGAAGGAAAGATATAAAGAAAAAAAGGTGGATTCCTAAGCTGTCGTAATGAAAATGTCAATGCATAAAGAAAAAAAAGACAGGCAAGAGAGAAAAAACAAGCTCGAAAATAAATGAATGGAAAGACAATTTGAAATGGATGGAAATCCATAGAAGGGGTGACAGAAGGTGGAAAGGAATGAAAATGAAGGGGAAAAGGGCTATGAATGTGGAAGAATAGGAATGTGACAAGAAAGGGTGAGGAAATGAATAAAGAAAAAAAGGAAGTGAAAATTAAAGAAGAACTGAAAAGAAAAAAAATGGCATTCAAACAAAAGAATAAAAGACAATAAAAAAAATGGCACAAGAAAGAAATGAGAGGCAAAGGTAAAGGAAAGAAGTAAAATAGAAAGAAAGAAAGAAAGAAAGAAAGAAAGAAAGAAAGAAAGAAAGAATGACACAAATTACCCCGTGGTAGTAAAATGGTTACAGAAACAGAGAAAACTTGAATGCTAAAGAAAGAAAGAAAGAAAGAAAGAAAGAAAGAAAGAAAGAAAGGTAAAAATTAACGATTGAATGAAAGAAGGAAAGAAAAAATGAATGAATGAGTGAAAGAAAGAAAGAAAAAATAATGAAATAAAGAAAGAAAGAAAGAATGACACAAACTACCCCGTGGTAGTAAAATGGTTACAGAAACAGACAAAACTTGAATACTAGAAAAAGAAAGAAAGAAAGAAAGAAAGAAAGAAAGAAAGAAAGAAAATAAGTAATTAATGAATTAATGAAAGAAAGAAACTAAACCATGGTAGCAAAAACAGAAGCACATAATGAATTAAATAGTATAAAAAAAGAAAAAGAGACTGAATTGTTGAAGTAAATTGTTTAAAGAAAGAAAAAATAAATTAAATGGTAGAAAGAAAGAAAGAAACCGAATTGTGAAAGTAAATTAAAGAAAGAAAATAAATAAAAATGAATAAGGAAAAGCGGCATAACCTAATTTTTGCCATCGAAGAAATAAGAAAAACAAAACAAATGACCCGAAGGAAAAACTGAAAAACCGAAATTAAACTTTTCATGAGTGATTGAATTTCAATCAATGAAGTTCCACCTTCAATCTTTGCCAATTATCTTCGATTTAACATGGTGTGCTCCAAAATTCATGTAGAATACACTGGATGCTAGCTTGGAAAAATATACATTTTTAGATGCCAAGGTGTGTTTAGACGTGTGCTTTTCAATTTTCTATTTTCTGATGCATGCATGCCATCAAATATATCCACATGCAATGATCCACTTATTCATACATATGTACGGAAAATCATACCTCTAGCTAAACGATTTCAACAAACGAGACACTGATTAATGTCAAAATATTTTCATATTAATTCATATATTCTTAAAAAAAAACATTGGAATAATGTGATGGAAGAGTCAGTATTAAATTTTAAAATCACATTTCCCCTCCACTCTTCTTTCTTTCTTTCTTTCTTTCTTTCTTTCTTTCTATCTATCTATTGCCTGTCTCAGACCTTTTTGAGTCTCAAGGGAGGTGCTTCTGGCCAAGTTTGTAGGCTTATTCAACGTGCAGTTGTCCACCAAAATCAAATCCATGCTAATGGCCTCGTCAAATTGACTTTGATTTACAGCTATCTCCGCCACCGCCATTTGTTTGCCATCTATCTATCTATCTATCTATCTATCTATCTATCTATCTATCTATCTCTCTCTCTCTCTCTCTCTATATATATATATATATATATATATATATATATATATATATATATATATATATATATATATATACTTGTTTTTGTTTTGTAAGGTCAAGTAAACGAGTTCATCTCACTAGATGACTTACTGTTGAAGCCTTTGTTCACCCAATACAAGGCCCAAGAGCCGCTCAAGGTAGAGGATTACTGAAATAGTTTGTTGAAAGTTGATAACGGTTGAACCTAGACATGAAGTGGCTAAGATTGCAATGATAGGAGAAGTATCCACTCAGGAGTCTATTCCACAAAGTAGCCGTTCTTAGGAAGAATTTGTCCGAATAGAACTTTCTTAACAATTGCATACGAAACGAATGAGAAGGATTCAATCTCGCGTGTACATAGTCTGATGGGTTTTAGCTGCAAATGCCTGAACCGGTGGAACGAAGAAATGTAGCTCGTCAGAATATTTTCCATGAAAATAGCGATAGAGTAACGAAAGTTTTGCGATGTTTCAACTTTGAGAAAAAGGTTGTAAGTTGTAAAATAATTCAACACCCACAAAGCTACATAGAAATATTTTTTAATGCTGGAAAATGAGAATTTTTTTAGTTAAATACTTTCTGGGTCAGTACAAGGAACTAACCATTTTTCAAACCTCTTTAGCGACGGATCGTATAGATGTGTTCCACTTGAGTCTCAATAGACGTTTAAAGCAAAGAATTTAATTGAGAGTATAACCGTTCATAATGACTGGAGAAAATTTAAGGTCTCTTCTGTGGTGATGGAATGTTACTAGCTTTGTAGCTCCAGTTAGACTAAAGTACTTCTTCTTCTTCTTCTTCGTCTGCTTCCTCTTCTTCTTCTTCTTCTTCTTCTTCTTCTTCTTATTATTATTATTATTATTATTATTATTTACTTTGCTTAGTTAAATCCATCACAGTTCAAAATTGGGGGGTTGATGTTGAAGAGATATAAGGAAGATTGACTTACGCCAATCTTCCATAAAGGGAGTCCTGAATGCCTTCAAAATCAACCTTCAAAATCTTTTTTATCTGGGCTCGAACACCGATCCCTTGCAATGGTGCATAACCCTTTCAATCGTAGTAAACATATTTTCGTACACTCGTACTTCTACACCTATATGCTCACAGATATATCTATGTTCGTCAACTCATCTATCTATCTATCTATCTATCTATCTATCTATCTATCTATCTATCTATGTTCGTCAAATCATTATCTATCTATCTATGCTCTTCAGCTCATTATCTATCTATCTATCTATCTATCTATCTATCTATCTGTTCTTCAGCTCATTATCTATCTATCTATCTATCTATGTTCGTCAAATCATTATCTATCTATCTATGCTCTTCAGCTCATTATCTATATATCTATCTATCTATCTGTTCTTCAGCTCATTATCTATCTATCTATCTATCTATCTATCTATCTATGTTCGTCAAATCATTATCTATCTATCATTTTACTACTCTCTTAGCAACCAGTCTCCATGTGTGATGCCTTTCCCGCGTGTAGTGTTGTTCTGTAGTGATAATTTTCTCTCCCTATCGATGGAATATTTCGACGCTTCTTCCATTTCTGTAAAGGAATATTCAAGGGAAAAGGACGTGGAAAAATACAAATTAATTCACTTAATCATTGAAAGAGCGATGTGCTCAGTGGTTGGTAGAATTAACTTCGGCGAGTTGACGGCACCAATGAAGCAAACAAGTTCATCTAATTTTTAATCCTATATGTAGAATGCTGTTTACGCTAACGGTTATTTGAAGACCTAAACTTAAGTTTTTATTATTACATCACTACTTCCTTTTAACGGAACATCTCTCTCTCTCTCTCTCTCTCTCTCTCTCTCTCTCTCTCTCTCTCTTTTATTTGTTTAATTTTTATGTTTGCAAACGGTGTGGTGTCTAATGCTTTTTTCCTCAATGGTTATTTTTATAATACTTTTATACTAGTAGCATCTACAGTGCACGTAATGCTATCATATTTATTATGGTGTATCCCATAGTAATTGTTTCATTTGCATACACGTTCCTTATAGTAATCTAGCGATTATTATGGGACATATATAGTATAAAGTCTGTATCATACACACGTGCATGTTCATAAAATATATGAGGTTTGAAAATTTAATTCCTGGAATGACCGCAGCATGTCGCTGGAGTAACGAATCAGATACATCCGTAAATATGAATATATCTTCAGCCTTTTCTAGACGCAGATATGATGAGCTACTCGTTGCTGAGCAGTAGAGTAATTAGTACGTGTTCATGTTATACCGTTGGCGGAAAATGAGTGAAAAGAATGTGGAGAAGTGAATTCAGATAAAGTTTTGGGTGAAAATTGGTAAAAGTGTTCATGAAATTCTTCTTCTTCTTCTATGTGCAATACTCTATCAGGATATTGACGATCACGGCTCTCCACAATTTCCTGTCTTTTGTAACTCTTAGTAAAGTATGTGCTTTTGCTATCTCTCCTCGCCCCTGTTTTGCCAACTATTTACAAAAGCTCGCTAGGTAGATTATATTCTGCTTTCGTGAGTCCCCTTGCCTTCAGTATATCAAATTTTCCAAGCCCTCTTTCCTCATTATGTGTCTTAGAAATTTCAACTGACTTTTTCTGGTGTTAATTATAAGTGTACTTTTTGTTGCCATTTTCTCTAAAATTTCGTCGTTGCTCACATGTTCAGTCTATGCCATTCTCAGCTTCCTTCTGTGGAACCACCTTTCTGTTGATTCAAGTCTATTCTTCATATGTGATGAGTGTTACGGTGAACGAAGAAATCCGGTATTTTCGAATGACACATGCGGTTTATGTAAGCGAAAGAAGATACGCTGAATGATACAAAAAGCAAAAGTCAAAAATAGAAAGAAAATGTGTACAGAGCTTGAACCTTGGTGCGCTCAGTTCGAAGATTCAGTAGGCAACTGTCCAAGGATTGTGAAAGAAGAAAAGGGGTCAAAAAATAGAGTTAGAAATCAGAACAAAGAGAATACGTTTTTTTTTCTTCTTCTTCTTTGGCGAAACAGTAAAACGCTACGAATCTCCTGTCTCTATTCTCATGTCGTTACCACCACATTAAGCAAATGTCCTTCTGCTCACCGACAAATTCGTAGCCTTTTTATATGTTTAGAATTTGCATGGCCGTCTCTCGCTAGTTATATCAGGCATACCAGTCTGCGCATGCGCCTTTTCCAAATTGTAAATACGGACTAAGCAAGCGAAACATCGAGGCCTTTTCGATCCTGGTAAGTGTGTTCAATGTTCGTCACAACAACTGTTAACAGAAGGAGTAAGAGTAGGCAAAGTCTGCGACAGATTCTAACAGGATTTTGAAAAGATTAAATTTTATTAAAAAAAGAAAGAGTTTCTGAATAATTATAAAAAAACTTAAAAAATATTAATGGCTGAAAGAGTGCTTAATATCGAGTATTGTTTCTGCTTTTTCATATAAACAGTGTAGACATAGAAATCAACACTGCATCCACAGAAATAAACACATAAATATATGAATGTGTATATACACGCACACATATGTGTCTGTCTATATACGAAAATAGTTTAAAAAACATAATGAATTCTATACCAATTTTAAATGTTCGTAAATCACAGAAAATGTCAATATTTAGTCAGAAAATTTGAATGACGTTTAATAGTTAGCTTTCGAAAGGTGCTACTCTTCCGAAGAATATAGGGTAAGTGTTCAAATATCGGAAGCCAATTCTTTATTTCCGATTCACGTTGCTTACAAACAGTCGCAGAATGCCAAAACAACCTGAGATTTGAGATAAAGAACAAAAAAATGAAACAAGCTTTATCAAAAATTAATGATTGTTATCATGTTTCATCAAAGTTGAAACAACTTAAGACTACTACATCTACTACTAGTAATATGGGTAAACAAGAAACAAAACAAAAAAAGAAATTAAATCTAATATTAAATTAATAATATAGATAGGGCTTCTTTTAAGAAATTCTGGAACTTAACACTACTAAATCTACTACTATTAATCGTAAACAAGAAACAAAAAAAAAGAAATTAAATCTAATATTAAATTAATAATAACGACAGGGCTTCTTTTAAGAAATTCTGGAACTTAACACTACTAAATCTACTTGACGTAAACAAGAAACAAAAATAATAAAGTGAATGAAAAACTAATAAGAACGATAATGTTTCATTTATGTAATTCGGACAATTTAAAACTTAAAACTATTATTAATTTTATGTCATTTTTCGATATTTTCATAAAATTTTCAACGTGGGCAGAAGTAGGAAAGAGATTTATTAACTTACAAAGTGATAAGTTAATAAAACGCATGTACTATATGGGAAAGTTGTTGATGGCAGAACGCGCACGGGGGAGTGTATGTAGAAAGTTGAACTTCAATCGATAAAAGCATTAAATTCAAAGCGAAGAAAAAGAGTAGTGACCTACCTACCCACTGACATCAGACTTTCACTTAAAGATCTTTGTAACTCAATAACAGACACATCAAAACATCCTTGACGTGGAAATACAAGCCCATTTTTCTTGTCGTCTAGGCTAGATGCAAAGATCCTACCTTCCAAATTCAGAAACAATATTTGCTTTATATTGGCACTTGGACTTGTAAAAGGTGGTCTAATAGATAGAGGCTTGGAATGAGAACATGGAGAGCAGAGTTCGAATTCTTGTCGAGTTCGTTACATTCACTTTCACACAAATTGGGAAAAGTATGAATCGGTTTCCCCTATGGGTTAAAAAGTAGGATAATTCAAAACTGTTATTAAATCGTTTTTACGGGTTACCCTTTGGCAAGGCATAGCACTTGGAAGCCACCACTGCCAGGATTATAGTGAAGACCTCAACAGCAAGATGTTGGATGTGGTCAATGGCATAATCTAACAGACCAGGTTTATGAAGTTGAACTACAATGGTGTCATGCAAAAAGATCATACTGAACAATAGATGAGACTTAATTATTCAGAATTAGATGGAAAATGCGGGAACACATACAGGAATCTTGTGTATCCTAATATATGCGCAATACAAACCCCTAAACGGGTCGTCCGGACGGTCGACCTATTTAGCTAGTTGGTCTGATATACAGTCGTGAAACTAATTGATCTGGGGCCAAAGTTGGGACCACAGAAGTAAAACACGGAACACGGATTAGATGTAAGAAAGATATATTAACAACAGGTTACAGAGATAGTGTAAGCGGAGCTTACTATATGTTAGTGTCCAACATTGGCAGTCGTACTAGACTCTCACTGTCTCTCTATGTCACTCTCTGTCACTCTCTAGAGTGCTATGTCGCCTACTTAATATAGGCCTGGAAGAGTCTATTATGTAGGTAGTTTCCGGTCTCACAGTACCCCCCTTCCAAAGAGTTTTCTTTTTGAAAAGGAGAGAAAAAATAAAACTGTTAATACTTTTTCCTCTTGGGATTTACGTCGAGCGGTTGAGTAAATTTCCTTTTCCTTCCTGAGTATCGCACTTCAAGAGAGACTTGGGGCATGTCGAGATCGAACTAGAGAACTTGATGCGTGAGTCACAGCTTTTCGCGAACCATCTGGCAGTTTATGTAAAATGCAAGCACCAATGCCGTACGAGCTTGTATCACTTGCGACTATGATGTCGAGACTAGGGTCGTAATGGGTGAGGGAGAGGTCTGAAGTAAGAGTTTTCTTGATCTTCTTGAATGCGTCTTGGCATTCCGGGGTCCATGACTATGGTTTGTCCTTTTTTAAAAGTTGGTTGAGAGGCCCTCTCACTAATATAGTTGAATGCAATTATATAGAAAACCAAAGACAGCGTTAAATTTGATGGGAGACGTCTGATGGTTTGAAGTGACTTCTTGGTGGCTCGCTTATATATTAAATTCAATGCAGCTGAATACAAAAGCCGGCTACATACGTTACATGTCATTTCATACGTTCTTCAAGATAAGAAGCAACCAGCGAGTTTTAAACAAGATAATACAGTCTGATATTAAACAAAGAAAGCTGAAACTTTCTTGAATGCAAAGAGATCAAACAACCAGCACAATGGCCCAACAAATGAAGGGATATTAGAGACGGCGATAATTGACACATTTTTCAATTACTTTTGATTCTTTCAAAACGCATATTGCATATTGCAATATTGCATATTGCATATTGCATATTGCAATTATAACAAAAAAGAAAAGACTTTACTTTAACGTAATCAAGTTTTCGATTTTTGTATTTTTAATGTTTTATTTTAGAACTTACTTGAGGCAACAGAAATGTGACGCTACAGAAGGATGCTGAGAATACCATAGATTAGGGAAGATGGAAACAAAAAGAGCATTTATACTTAGAATCAGAAAGAGACAGTTGAAATTTCTAGGACACATAACGAGGAAAGAGGGTTTAGAAAATTTGACACTCACAGGATATATTGAAGGCGAGAAGCAAATAACTTACCTAACGAGCCTTTGTAAATGGTTAGCAGCAAAAAGACAAAGGACAAAAAGTGCTAAAAAGGACACAAATATATAGAGAGCGATGATTGCGCGTGCCCTGAAGAGACATGATACATAGAAGAGGAATTTTGTTTCAGCTTAAAACGGCAAAACAGAAATTGATAGCAAACCCGTGCCTAATAAATCAGGGTGGGAATGGTTAATAAATAGGGAGTAGGAATTTATTGCGAATTCATAGTGTGGTCAATATATACGATATATTTAGGCAGTAACGTTTTATTATTCAGGTTTGGTTGAAAACAAATGAAAGTTCTTTGTTTAAGACTTTTCTTTTTACTAAATTTTAGTACGCTTCAGGCTATTTTTCTAGTTTCTGAGGAAAATTTGAACATAAACAAAAGGTAGGAAGATTCTATAGCGCCAAATTTACCTTGAAAATCATCCTTCAGAATTTTAAATTTTTACCAGAGTCGAAA